TTTGTATTTTTAGTAGAGACGGGGTTTCTCCATGTTGGTCAGGCTGGTCTCGAACTCCTGACCTCAGGTGATCTGCCTGCCTTGGCCTCCCAGAGTGCTGGAATTACAGGCATGAGCCACCGTGCCCGGCCATTGGGACACCTTTTTCTTAAATTTGCTTAAAGTTAATGCTTTTGATTACATTGTTTATAGTTAGACATTTAAAATGTAATTTTGGATAAAATATTTATTTTTGGTAGTAACCTCATTGTATTGTAATTATAAGTTAACTGTTAGAAACAAATAGTACAAGTTATGTAACTTGTTTACAATAAGAGAGCAGTGTTTTAATTGGTCATTAGATGTTGATGATAACTCAGTTACCATTGGTTATTAAGATACTTATTTGGTAATCTCTTTCTTTTTTTTTTTGTTTTGAAGACAAGGTCTCACTCTGTCGCGTAGGCTAGATGGAGCACAGTTGCGCCATCACAGCTCACTGCCCGCTTGACTTCCTGGGCTCCAGTGATCCTCCCACCTCAGCCCTCCCCCAACCCGAGTAACTGGGACCACAGGCGCACGCCATCATGCCTGGCTAATATTTTGTATTTGTTGTGGAGATTGGGTTTTGCCATGTTGCCCAGGCTGGTCTTGAACTCCAGGGTTCAAGCGATCCTTCCACTTTAGCCTCTCAAAGTGCTGGGATTACAGGCATGAGCTGCTTTGCCTGGCCTGGTAATCTCTTGATTAAAGTACAGAATAATTCTTTACTGCATAACAGTGAGAATAGATATAAAATACTTAACCATCAAAGACATTTGAAATTGTTACCACACCTGTTTTTAAAAATTGTCATTAAAAATAAATATCAAGTTTATCTTAATTAAGTGTACAATGCAGTGTTGTTAACCATATATACATTGTTGTACAATTTTTTATTTTACGTGACTGAAACTATACCCATTGAATAACAGCTCTCCATTTCCCCCTCCTCCCAACCCCTGGCAGCAACTATTCTACTTTCTGTTTCTATGAGTTTGATTACTTTAGATACCTACACGGTATTTGTCTTTTGTGACTGGCTTATTTCACTTATGGTTCATCCATGTTGTAGCTTATGCCTGGATTTCCTTCTTTTTTAAGACTGAATCATCCTCATCCACTGGTTCTAGCTGAAGTATGATGGGATCATTCTTCCTGGCAAATAAATTCCCGTTTCTATCCAGAAAACCAATAAAAAGTTTTCCATGAAATGTTAAAAAAAAAAAAAAAAAAAAGACAATCCATTGTATTGCATATGCCACATTTTCCTTATCCATTCATCCTTCTGTGGCCATTCAGGTTGCATCTACATCTTGGCTTCTATGGATAATGCTGCATTGAACATGGGTGTATCATTATACCTATTTTTAAAGGGTATATCTGTTTTTCTCTTGCAGATATATTCGACTTTATGGGAGAAAATTTAGCAAAGAAGATCATGTTCTTTTTATTAAGTTATTGTATGAGCTGGTATCAATTCCAAAACTGGAAATCAGCATGATGCAGGGATTTGCCCGCCTTTTGATCAACTTGTTAAAGTAAGTCTATTTCCAGTGGTTTCCGTTAAGGTTTGTTTGTTTCTTCAGGGTTTTAGGGAATGAGGACTAAGTCCTTTTGGTAAGAAGACCAAGTCTCAAGTTGCCAATTTGGAAATTGATTGCAAAAAACATTATCTTTAGTTTCATCAAATGTGTTAATTAACCTTTTAGTTAAAATTGCATCTCTTCCATGACGTGGTCTTTTCTCTAGCACCCATTGAATTTCCCCTTTCATAGGTTGTTAAGTCCCTCGAGAAAACAAGACAAATATTATAGATTCTTTTGCTTACCCTGAAGCATCCAGCTCAATGCTGGAAACAAATATTCCATAGTGTGGGAAAACATGAAATTCATCTACAGTGATGGTGACACAAATTTAAATGCCCTCTTTTATCTGGAACTCTTTGAGGTTTGAGCAGCAGCAAGAATTGGGTGCATTATTCTTATGTTCTGCTAGTGAGTGGCCGTGGATGGGGAAAAGCAAAACCCACTGTGATGAGCAGCAATATTTAACTGTCCCTGTGTAGTATTTGTGGTATACACACATCTGTGCACACATGCACACGTAGGTATTTGTTTTATTTTACTTTTTAGGAAAAAGGAACTTCTTTCAAGAGATGATTTGGAGTTACCCTGGAGACCACTTTATGACATGGTAGAAAGAATATTATATTCCAAGACAGAGCACCTAGGATTAAATTGGTTTCCTAAGTAAGTGTTTCCATTTAAAATACTTATTTGGGAGTACTTGGGGTCTTTTAGGGAGTGATCATGATTGAAAAATACTGGGTTGTTTGAAAGAAACAAGCAGATATTTTAATGTGCATATTTCTATGTAATTTGACTCCTGAAGCAATTCATTGCCCTCTATAAACTGTATCTGAAGCTGCATCTCTCTTGCAGATCATTGACTTCTTCCATCTACAGCCTGCCTCTTGGAGACCTAATTTTTGGTTTTATATTTTATTCTGAGTTTATATAATAAAATAGCATCTGCCTTTTTTTGGTTAATAGTGATTTCATACTTGACTGATAGGTATTTCTATCCAATTGTAGTCTAGCTTTAAATTTTCTCAGTTTTAGCATGTTTGGCTTATCATTCTTCTTTTTTCTGAGACAGGGTCTCCCTCTGTTGCTCAGGCTGGAGTGCAGTGGCACAATCTCAGCTCACTGCAACCTCCGCCTCCCAGGTTTAAGTGATTCTGGTGCCTCAACCTCAGGAGCAGCTGGGATTACAGGCGCGCACCACCATTCCCAGCTAATGTTTGTATTTTTAGTAGAGATGGGGTTTCGCCATTTTGGCCACTCTGGTCTCAAACTCCTGACCTCAGGTGATCTGCCTCTCTTGGCCTCCCAAAGTCCTGGGATTACAGGCATGAGCCACCATGCCCGGCCTCTTCAGTGTTTTTTTGTTTGTTTGTTTGTTTGTTTTGTTTTGTTTTTGAGACGGAGTCTCGCTCTATTGCCCAGGCTGGAGTGCAATGGCGTCATCTCAGCTCACTGCAAGCTCTGCCTCCCGGGTTCATGCCATTCTCCTACCTCAGCCTCCCCAGCAGCTAAGACTACTGGGGCCCACCACCACGCCCAGCTAATTGTTTTTGTATTTTTAGTAGAGAGGGGTTTGACCGTGTTAGCCAGGATGGTCTCAATCTCCTGACCTCGTGATCCGCTCACCTCGGCCTCCCAAAGTGCTGGGATTTCAGGCATGAGCCACTGCGCCCTACCGCCTATTCAGGTTTTAATAGCTGGCTGTTTTTTCTCATTGTCTAGAGTCATTTGTCATATATACTCATTTCTTTTTCTTTTTCTTTTATTTTTTGAGACAGAGTCTCGCTCTGTCGCCCAGGCTGGAGTGCAGTGCCATGATCTCGGCTCACTGCAAGCTCCGCCTCCCACCTTCACGCCATTCTCCTGCCTCAGCCTCCCGCACAGCTGGGACTACAGGCATGCGCTACCACGCCCGGCTAATTTTTTTGTATTTTTAGTAGAGACGGGGTTTCACCATGTTAGCCAAGATGGTGTCGATCTCCTGACCTTGTGATCCGCCCGCCTCGGCCTCCCAAAGCGCTGGGTTTATAGGCGTGAGCCACCGCGCCTGGCCTGTGTACTTATTTCTTGAAGAGCACCATTCTCTATGCCTGTATTAATTTCCTTTTTCTTTTTTATAAATTAAGTCTTTAAAGACTTCTGAGGTTTTCTCTCTCAGTCTTAGGCATGTCTACATTATTTCATTATTTCTTGTTAAATTCATGTAATCTATGATTAGCCCTCAGCCTTTACTTAGGTCAACAGTCTTTGTCCCTTACCATAGAATTTTTTGAAAATGAGTGCAGATGGCAAATGTGAAATGGTGTAAATGGAGGAGGTAAAACATGATCTTCAACTTAGGTCCTAATTGGTTTTTGGACAGTTGGGGACAAGTAAAGTGGTTAGAAGTCATTTATTTCTTGCAAGGTTCATGTGTTAAAACAAGGAAACTCATTTCAACCATAAAAATGCAAATTTTATCATGAAATAGAGTAGTACATTGTGCAAGTATGTTTTTACCAGTATTTGTTGTTTTCTTCCGTCTCTCCCTCCCTTCCTCTCTCCACTCCTTCCTTCCTTCCTTTTTCAGGGTTGCTCTGTTGCCCAGGCTGGAGTGCAGTGGCAAGATCTTGCATCACCACAGCCTTGACCTCCTGGGCTCAAGCAGTCTTCCCGCCTCAGCCTCCTGAGAAGCTGGGACCACAGGCATGTGCCACCATGCCCGGCTAATTTTTAAAACTTTTTATTTGTAGAGACGGGGTCTCACTGTGTTGCCCAGGTTAGTCTTGAACTCCTGGGCTCAGGAGATCCTCCCGCCTTGGCCTCCCAAAGTGCTGGGATTACAGGCTTGAGCCACTACACCCAGCCCCAATATTTATTAAGAAAACTCAGAATTGAATACAAAAGCTTTGTTTGTAAAGATTCCTTTTGGGTGTTATTTTTGCCACAGGGACCGTGATCTATACTGGTTTGACTGAGTCTTCTTTAAATGAGAGGTCAGGGAATTTCTTACTGGCTTCACCATTTCAGATGAGATTGGGCACATTCAGGGTGTTAATGGCCATAGACAGGCCTCACCATTTCATAGATCTCAGGGACCTTTGAACTGTGTTCAGATCAGTTATCCTTCTGAGATTTTTCTTGCTGATAATTTTGGCTGCTTCTGAAAGTATTTTGTAAATGAAAGGAGGAGATAAGGCAGTTTCTTCAGTGATACCCTGTTCTTTAGTATGCCCTCTTATTCGCTGCTTTATAACCAAGCGTCCTACTTTCCTGCCTTAAAGGTCTACCTTTGCAAAGGCACATGCCGCTTTTAAAGTCCTGTGTGGTCATTAATAAATATCCATGGCTTTCCTCTTCAGTGATAAGAGCTGTTTGTCTGGAAATTTTCTATTAATATTGGTCAGTCAGTGCTTATTGATTATGTTTACCATGTCTCTTCCTAAAGTGTCACATCATCCTTGTCCTTAAAAGTTTTACCATGACTATTCTTGATCTTTTGAAGACACGTTGTGACTGAAACACGGCACTGACTCTCAACTCTTAACAGACTCAGCATTTCATTTTGTAATTGTAATTATTCTAAAATAAAATTTATACATCATATAACCTACCTATACTCATTACCTACACTGTGACAATTTTGAGTTTTTTCATCTTAGATATATTCTGCCACATTTTGAAACAGTTTTGTCGGCTGACTACATGTGTTCATACTATTTTTAGAATGCTATTTTTATAATCAAAAGTGAAAGATTGCTTAATTTGTTAACCGTCTTTCAAATTTTAAACTTACGTGCCTTATGTTTTTGTCCTTATTGAAATTGCTGCTTAGGGTGGTGACATGTATTTCAACATGATTTTAAAAGCTAGTTCTATTGTTTGAAGCAAAGATTATCAACTTCCCTCTCTTCCCTTCCTCTTTACCTTTTCCATCCTCTCTCCATCCCTTTTTGTATCCTTGTTTCCCTCTTTCCTTTTCTTCCTTGCTTCCTCCTTCTAGCTTTCTGTCTGTCTTTTTGCCTCTAGGGCAAAAGACCCTTTTTAGTCTCTTTATCCCCATCTCAGTCTACTTTTTACTGGAGAAAGAATCGGTAGTGTTTTTTATGCAATAGAAGAAGTAAAATTGGAAAGGAGATGAGTGTGAACTAATTGTTAGTGATATAAGAATTATTATTTACTTTATAAATGAAGCTTTTGAATCTTATGGACATGGTTTTATTTTATAAAACAATATCCCATACACTTACTTTGACTAGCATATTGCAAGTTATATCATAGGCAACACAGTAATGGTGTTGCTCCTCACAAAATGTGGGAGAATTATGCATAGATCGCTTTTACAAGTGGGCACAAACAATTCATATTTCAATTGCTATATGTATACATTTATTTAGTATTATTACCACTAATTTGGTTTTTGTGGGTGGTTATAAAGGTTTTCATATTTGCATCATGAGTAGCTTGGGCCTGCATAACTTGTTTACTACTTTTTAAAATTTATTTTAAAAAGTGTCTATTCTCTTTTACATGTATTGTTCTAAGGGTATCATATAGTATTATATTTTCATTTTTTTCATATTAATCTGCCTCTGGAGAAATTTGATATTTTCTTTTTCTGGTATTTGTTTATGGCATTTGTTTCTCTATTGAGTCATTAAAGAGCTATTTGAATTGGTGCTCTTTAAGATACAGTTAAATCCTTTGTCCTCAGCTCCCCACACTCACCACATGGAAACGACATTTTCCAGACCTCTGTTTGGGGTTTCTTGGCACATGTGGCCATACTTAGGAGTTTAAATTACTACCAGCAGCTCATGGATGATCTCTAGCTACAAAATTTAATATGATAATCAAATGATGAGAAGAATTTCTCCTAAAACCTGTTGAAATTTAAAAGATTTTATGGTTGTAAACCATGATTATTAATATGGTATTTACAATTATTTTTTAATGTATTTGAAGACCATCCTATTTATTTTTAAAAATATTCTTTTATTTGGAAATTTAAAATTTTAGCAAAATTCGGCCGGGTATGGTGGCTCACACCTGTAATCCTAGCACTTTGGGAGGCTGAGGTAGATGGATCACCTGTGTTCGGGAGTTCAAGACCAGCCTGGCCAACATGGTGAAACCCCATCTCTACTAAAAATACAAAAAAAATTAGCCTAGTGTGATGGCGCATGCCTGTAATCCCAGCTACCCAGGAGGCTGAGGCGGGAGAATTGCTGGAACCCGGGAGGCAGAGGCTGCGTTGAGCTAAGATCATCCCACTGTACTCCAGCCTGGGCGACAGAGCCAGACTCCCATCTCAAAAGAAAAATTTTTTTACCAGATTTTATTAATGTTTTGGATAGTGTTTCTCACAAAAGTTGTTTCTGTGCTACAATGTTCTTTCTTTAAAAACTGATCTTTTAAAAGCAAATTTAAAAAATACTTAGTTCAAGTTCAAGTTGATCAGGCTTATTGTCATTTAAAACAATTATGCATGCTCTTTTTATGTGAGTGGTAAGAGTTACTACAATTTCTTAACACTTGCCATAAAGGTATACTTTTTAAAAGTAATTTTAATGAAAAGTCAATGCTAATGCACATCAGTAAGGACAATGTTGTACTTATTATTTGTACTTTTTTTTTTTTTGAGATGGAGTTTTTTTTGCTCTTGTTGCCCAGGCTGGAGTGCAGTGGCACAATCTGGGCTCACTGCAACCTCTGCCTCCCAGGTTCAAGCGATTTTCCTGCCTCAACCTCCTGAGTAGCTGGGATTACAGGTGTGCACCACCAAATCCAGCTAATTTTTTGTATTTGTAGTAGAGATGGGGTTTCATCATGTTGGCCAGGCTGGTCTTGAACACCTGACCACAGGTGTGAGCCACCGCACCTGGCCTATTTATACCTTTCTTTATGGTGAAATTATCTTGGCCCTAATTTTGAGTGAAGTGGCTATGAAAAATGACTACTTACTAGTTTAACTGAGCAATATTAGATTTTGAAGATTAGATATGAGATGGATAATGTCTAACTTACGGTGGATTTGTTTGGATTTAGAGAAGGCAAGTAAAACTAGATGAGTGTTTGGCACAGGTTTAAGAAAAACAAATACTGTATAAGCAGTTACCATTAAATTATGAAGGGAGGAAGTCAGATATACAGAATAGTCCGTCGTTACAGTTAACCAGTTCATTTATGAAAAAGCAAATATTATTCTGAAGTTAAATTTTAGTTCAAGAACTGTCAAGTGAAGCTGCAAGTACTTCTGGCTATGAGCAGTCTAGTTTACTCTCATCTTCAGTATTTCATTTGCTATACTTTTCCCTGGTTTAGAAGTGAATATTGTCCTGATAAGGCCAAGGAGGCAGGAGGCATAAACCTCCAAGTTTATATGAGTTCACTGTCTCAGTAACTGGAGGCTAAGACTATTGGTTTTCCTCAGGCTTATCTGCTAATATTTAACATTTACTTTATTAATGGCATCATAAGGAAATCAAGGTCCAGAGAGGAAAATTCACACAGAATCATTGGTTGAAACTGGAACAAGAGCTTAAGAACTGGGACAAGGACTCACTTTCTACCCTTAATAATAGGGTGGCAGTTGGGGAGGAGTTTCCTATTTTGTTGTGATTTCCTTAAGTCATAAATTAGTAGCTACTCAGAGGCAGTAGAATCAATGTAAGAGCAAAATAAGCACAAAATTTTAATTTTTAAGGAAATTGAGGATACAATTTATTATGGCTAAGTATGAAATAATAGATAACATTTATTATCCTTAATTCTGGGCCATATACCTGCATTCTATACATTATCTCATTTATTTTTGTAACAGCTTTATGAGAGGTAGGTATTATTGCTCATATTGATGAGAAAACAGCTATAATACAACTAGGAAGTAGCAGAACTGATACTCAAATTCAGATTGGTCTGACTCTAAGCCCAAACTGTAAACCATTATATGCTCTACTGTGGCTTTCTTTTTCAACCTAACATATATTTTTCAACCTAACGTATCTTTTTAAAGAGGAAAGGGTATAAGAAAACCCATCCAAAGCTTAGTCACTCTTTAGATCCCTTTTGATTTAAAAAAAAAGAAAAAAGTGTTTTGAATTGTTATCACTTTAATATTATACATTTCCAACAGTTGGAAAGTATTTAGTGATTATTTACTCCCTCTAAAAATTAGTGAAATGTAGTCTAGTAGCATCTAGCCTTAACCTTTTATTTTATTTTTAAACAGAAACATTGTTCCTTTCATCTTGAGAGATTACAAGAATCACAAAAGGTCACTATACAGATATCACAGGTTAGAGAGATTGTACCCTTTTCTGGATAAACATCATAAATCCAATGGTACAGGCCTTATGTATAAGAAGGGGTTGAAATTGACTTTATTTCGAGTAACTAAATTGCATTCCCACATACCCTAATCCTCTAATAAGTGAAGTGACTCTATCAAGTGTTATAATTAACTTCCTATTCTTCTGAAGCGTGAAGGGAACTGGAGAAAACATGTAGCTTTGCAGCCTTTTATGACTTGCTTTCTAGAATCATTTATGACATTATGCGAAAGTATGTTGGTATAGCAAAGGTCCTAAGTGAAAACAGCAGGTTTTCTGTGTAGCGCAGAACCAATAAAATAAATGTAATGTTAATGAGAACACGAACATTAGGACTGATAGAATTGTGGATCTTATGCTCATTTTCATGGATAAACAGTTTACAATTTTAGAATTACCTTTTAAAAATCTGCATTTAAATTGAGCAATTTAGTTTAAAACTAGATGACTCTTTAAACCTTAGCTGTTAATTCTATACTTTGTTGCTAAATGGGATTCTTCGATCTAAACTAAAAGAAGACCCAAGATCTGTCCTTTTTGTTACTCTGATATAAAATTTTTATTATTATAAATCAATAGACAGAAAAGTATAAATATATGTGAGCAGATGGCCTTTTTATAAGCACTTTGGAAATGCCCAGAAATAAAAATCACAGCCGTGGTCTTCAGGGAGCTTTAAACATAGTTGGATAGAAGTTTGCCCTGTTTTTTTTTTTTTTGCTGGGCAAACTTAAATGTTCTCTGAACTGTGTTTTTGAATTGCTTAGCCTTTTTATAAGAAAAAGAAGAACCTCCCTCTCATGACCAGAGACAGTGCTTATTGATGGCCCTTTGGCCATGTATTTTTTTTTTTTTTTTAATTTTAGAAGTCATCCCGTGAGTTGTAACCTAGTTGCCTCTTCAGTTAATTTTTCTCTGAGTAGTTTTGAAATTAAAGAGGATTTCTACTGCTCCACGTAATGAGATTATAGTTTTCCTTTCTTGGTTATGTAATATATTGATTATTTTTGATGAGTTTGCTTTCTGTGACTCCTTGGAATTTCTTTGCAGATTAGTTCCTAAACTTTCAGAGAAGTTGGGTAGACTTCTGGACTTAAGAATTTCAGAAAGCTTAATAAGAAAGTATCAGGTGGAGACATTGCCTGAAAGTTACTCCTTTCCCATATATGTATATATACATTTTTCTGAGATTTGGGAATTTTATTTTTACTTGTACATATCATACTGTAAGTAGTCACACATGTATTTTTAAATTCCAGCTCAAAATTACCTAGTGCTCCATTGTTTGTATTGTTTGTTTGCATTTGACTGCTTGACTATAATCTAGTAAATATTTAAATATTCCATTCTGGTCATGTGTTTAAACCAGTACACGTTGGCCTTTTTATTAAAAAAGAAATGTTGATTATAAATTCATACATACCTTTTTATGTTGGTCTCCTGTATTCACTTGAGGCAACTACACGTTCGTTGTAAAGTAAGTTATAATTTTTAATGTTACTGGACTAACTTTATAAGTATCTGCTCAAAGAGATGCTATTGTTCTTTTTGATAATTGTTGCTGGCCGTAAAGTGCCTTGGAGGGTTATCGAACTCATGAATTGGTTGTGAAAGCTAATTTCTGATGGAAACACCCAGATTTTGGTCTGTCTGCTGCTTGTGTTTTGATGTAAAAGTATTTTAGTAAAAATTATTTGAAGTGTTAAGCCACTGTGTTGATAAGTATGGTGTATGGTCATTGCTGCCTACCTTGTAAAGACTGAAAACAATTTGTTCTTTTCCCAGTGTAACATTTTTTCCCTTTAGTTCATACCAGAGACAACGAAATGAGGGCAAAGGAAAGAGTAGATTAGGGAGTTTAAGTAGTGAATCCTTGCAGGTGTGTCTGTATGAAAGGGAAGGCTTAGTTATTACATATAAACAAATAATATCTGAATGTATGAGCTTATCTCAGAGGTATTTATTAATTGAATTAGATGTGTTCTTAAAATATACCAATCTAATTATCAAATGGCTTTCCCCCCCCAGTTCTGTAGAAAATATTCTCAAAACACTCGTGAAAAGCTGCCGACCGTAAGTAGCTTCTCAATTTATAAAGCCTCTTGTTGTTTCTGTGGGCTTTTCCACATCTTTAGTATGGTTTGAAGAGGAAATGAAAAGTATAAATCGTTCCTGACATTGTGATGTTAGTCACTGAGCACAACATACCATTTCCAGTTTGTGAACTGAACTTCTCAGATTTCATTTAGAAATTTAGAAATTTTAAAGTCATCCATTGTAAAGTAAGAATACCGTATTTTACATAAAATCATCTTTATTTGGAAGCATTTCCTAGAGTATTGTTGTTATTCAGATAAAAAATGAGTAATGCCAATAAGGTGGTTCATAACTTTTTTTGTCAACTATGTTCTGTAGAATATTTAAATATCCCATATTCTTTTCTTTTTATTTCAATATTTTTTGTAGAGAGTGGGACCTTGCTGTGTTGCCCAGGCTGGTCTTGAACCCCTGGCCTCAAGGAGTCCTCCCACCTTGGCATCCCAAAACATTGGGATTATAGGCGTGAGCCACCACTCCCTGCCAGTTATCCTATATTCATATGATTAAAGATAAATGTGAATAAAATTTAATTTTAATTTTTTTGGTTATCTTTAATATATTTTTTTTTTTTGAGACAGAGTCTCGCTCTGTCGCCCAGGCTGGAGTGCAGTGGCGCGATCTGGGGTCACTGCAAGCTCCGCCTCCCAGGTTGACACCATTCTCCTGCCCCAGTCTCCTGAGTAGCTGGGACTACAGGCGCCCGCCACCTCGCCCGGCTAATTTTTTGTATTTTTAGTAGAGACGGGGTTTCACCATGTTAACCAGGATGGTCTCGATCTCCTGACCTCGTGATCCACCTGCCTCGGCCTCCCAAAGTGCTGGGATTACAGGCGTGAGCCACCGCGCCCGGCCGATTATCTTTAATTTTAATTAAAGCTCAATTTTATGTACTTGAACTGTTTTTTGTTGTTATCAAGTTATTCTAAGACTGTTTAGATGGTATGGAATCAGTGAATCCTTTTTGATGAAAAGCCATGTATTATATGCTTGTAATATTCATCCTAAATACATATTTAATAAACCAGATATTTATTGCTGACCTTCTGTATTACTCAATGTTGGGCAAATGTATTTGCGGAATATGAGATATCTGTCTCTCAAGCGACATAAGATTCACCCTGAGTCATAAGCACCAATGAACAGTGTCATTTTATGCGATGCAGTTACCCTCTTGGCCTGTGTTTCCTCACTGGAAACTAGATTATCACTTCAATACTTACTGGCTCATAGGTAATTCATAGAACTCCAAGTTTTCATTTTGGATTACAGTGTTAACAGTTGACTCAGAAAACTTATTAAGGGGAATTGATCCTTGAGATGTGAGGTCTTTGAAGGTGGAGCATAGTTTGTTTTTGGTTTTTTTAAAATTCCAATCTGTTACCCAAGGACCTGACACATAAATGCTTTGTGAACTCAACAGAAGTATTCTTAGAAATATAATCTTATTTTTCACATAGAAGATTGCAGTATTATTTTAATTAACACAAGTGTATGAAGATACAATAGGATTAATAATATGATGTGTGGGCCAAGCCTATAAGTCTATTTGAAAAAGTTTTCCAACTTATTTGGAAAGAATCAGAATTTTTCATATGCTGTTTGTATTTTAAAGCTCTTAAGGCTGGATGCGGTGGTGCTCTCCTGTAGTACCAGCTACTTGGGAGGCTGAGGTGGGAGGATCACTTCAGTTTAAGAGTTTGGGTCCAGCCTAGGCAACATAGTAAGACTCTGTCTTTAGAAAAAAGAAAAATGCCTGTTAAGATGTATTTAGCCGTTATACATGTATCCTCTTTATTTACCTTTGTTTTGTGTATATATGCACACTTTGGATTTTAATTTTGTAAATCTACTCCAGGGTCACTCCTGCCCGTTTCCTACAGTTATGGAATATCACAGCCTGTAGACCAGATCATCTAGTCCTCTTGTATAGGGGAGGACTCTGTGTTCCAAGGAAGGTCAATGGTTTATTCAACATGCCTAGAGATTGCTGGGCTGATGTTCTCTTTCTCATCTACTGGTAATCCTTTTCCTATTTAGACTAGATTCTTTATGACAGGATTTTTTTTCAGTTGCTGTTACATAGCACAAAGGAAGTAAAACAAAAACCCTGTTTACTTTTGTAGGTTACTTGAGTGACTCATATTTTATCTGAGTTTTGTCAACTTTATAGTGTTTAGAAAAATTCCCTTAGACGAGGAGAATTTACTTTATGCCAAGTATAATGGGGAATTTTATTTTATTTATTTATTTTTTTGAGACGAGTCTCACTTTTGCCCAGGCTGGAGCGCAATGGTGCAGTCTTGGCTCACTGCAGCCTCCATCTCCTGGGCTCTAGTGATCTCCCAACCCCAGTTTTCTGAGTAGCTGGGACTACAGGTGTGTGCTGCCATCATGTCTGGCTAATTTTTTGTAAAGACTGAGTTTTGCCATTTTGCCCAAGCCGGTCTTGAACTCCTGGGCTCAGGTGATCCATCGACCTTGGCTTCCCAAAGCTCTGGAACTACAGGCATGAACACCTCGCCCAAATGGGGAATTTATTTTAGTATTGTGAAAATGTGTGTTAGTTTGGACATTTGTATACTGTGTTACATCCTATGATATATATTCTCCTCCTTCCCCGGCCTTTTGGTAAGTTATATATATTGCTGTTGTAGAGCTTTTAGCCAATAATCAGATACATGAAAACCTTCTTTTTTTATTAGATATTTTCCAGCAGATGCCACAGCTGAGATGCTAGAAGAATGGCGACCTTTAATGTGCCCTTTTGATGTAACCATGCAAAAGGCCATCACTTACTTTGAAATATTTCTTCCTACCTCCCTTCCTCCAGAACTTCATCATAAAGGTTTTAAGTAAGTATATGCATATCTTGACAAATTCTAAAAATACAGCAGGAAATACAGATATAGAAACTAGTAAAGCAATAACAAGTAGAAAAATCGTTTTTGCAAACTCAGCCATTATTGTACTTCAAGTTTATTATACTTGAAGTGTGTTAAGGCTAAAACGGTTATAAGATTGAAAGTAAAGAGATGACACCCAAGTAAGATGAGGGCTTTAATTTAAGAAATTAAGAGAAAGAAAGAATTGCCAGAAGGGGTAATAAAAGGAAAACAGATAAAAGGAGAAAGTCAGGGAAAAGGAAGTAGAAAATTGAAAGCAATTGTTAAATAAGAATGGACAGTACTTAGTAATGAAGCAGAAGTTTAATTTGTGAGATCAGATTTCTTAAATCATGAAAGGAATATTCAGACAAAAACTCCATTATTTTATTAAGTTTATAACTTCAGTATTATTTTTTTTCTAGTTATGTAGTTATCAGTAACAATAATAGATTATAAAAAATACAAAGGATACCTGGCATTAAACTACTTTAAAGTCACTTGCTATTCATAACAACATTTTTCTTTTTTAGACTTTGGTTTGATGAATTAATTGGCCTTTGGGTTTCGGTGCAAAATCTCCCACAGTGGGAGGGGGTAAGTATACCTTTTTTCCCCTATAGTTTTGTTTTTCTTTTCTTTTCTTTCCCCACCCCCCCAATACTTTTTAAATTTGGAGATAAATATTAATAGATCATTTGGTAAGTACCTTGAAGTTCCTTAGGATTGGCTGTTAGCCCTGTTATGATCAGTTCCTTCTCAATTTTATATTATTTATTTGTTGTATTCTAACAAAAGTATACATTTATTTTGGTTTTATCAATATTTAGGAGTATACACATGTATTGTAAAATGCATGAAATGTAAGATCCTGTTGTTTGTTTTCTTTGGTGCCTGTACTATCATGGTGCTGGACGTATAGTGGATATTTTCAGCATATTTGTTGGATTAAACTTTTCTATATTCATTGTGGATAGTGCTTTGTCATTTTACTTTTTAGGAGCATTTTAACTGCAGCTGATTTTAAATGTGTGACGTGAATCAATTTACATTTGGAGGTTTTTTTTAAAAAAAAACTAAGTCATAAACTATTTAAGTAGATTGCACTAATGATTGCTGAAAAGAACAAATGGAGGAGGGGTGTGACTATGACACTTAAACAACAACAACAACAAATGTATTAACTTTGTCCTTTTTGTTTACTTTCAGCAACTAGTAAATCTCTTTGCTCGATTGGCTACAGATAATATAGGGTACATAGATTGGGATCCATATGTACCAAAGGTAATTAACATTTTGGGGGAAAGCCAGTCATGATGGTAGGCACCTGTAATCCCAGCTGCTCAGGAGGCTGAGGCAGGAGAATCGCTTGAACCCAGGAGATTGAGGTTGCAGTGAGCCAAGATCGCACTACTGCACTCCAGCCTGGGTGACAGAACTAGACTCTGTCTGGGGGAAAAAAAGAACATTTTGAACATAAATACAATAGTGCCGACAACAATTCTATATTATAAAGGAGAAATGTTTTTTCTATGCCAATTCCAAGTGGCACATAAAATTTTCTTTGATCATTAGTAAACACATATACAAATAATTTACAGGGCTGGGTCCAATGACCTTTTCTAAAGGTAATTAGACCACGTGAAGGTATCATAAATGTGTTTTCTTATGCAGGATATGAACTATGAGTATCAAAAGTAATTTGGAAAGTACTAAGTATAGTATCAAGAGCATCGTACATTTGTACCTTCCAGTGCATTTTGTGTATCGTATTTGGTTGCTCCTCTGCAGTGTTGCCCACTTTTTAGGTCACATTATGTATTTTCCTATAGTAAATAAAGCTAGATATTCCAGGTGTATCTTCAGTATTATTTCACCTGCAGTAGAATAACCTGTGGAGCTGCAGTAGGGCTGGGTGATTCTGATGCACACACTTACGTTAGAGCAAAGCTGGGGAGCAGCTGAATGCAAATGCTCTGTTTGCTTTTGCTTGTGGTGTCTTCCTCTGTTGTTTGGCCATTAGAAACTAATTGAGGAAGAGAAATCGTTTCTCCCCACCTTTGGGCCCCTACCTATTGGTAATGATACATTTGGAATATAAATTTAATTTTATTATAATATAGTTGTTAAGTGATTGACTAAAATACAAATTCTTAGGGAAAAATCAAATCACCATTAAAATTTTGAAAGGGAAAGCAATCTGCTAGAAGATACTTGCATTTAGGTTGGTGCTGTTGTGCATGCTTGACATGGAATAGGAGCTTAGGAAAAACTATTCGTGCATTTGGGACAAGAAAGGAGTCAAAATATTTCATGTTTAGTCACAGTATGTGTGTTTTTGCCTTTTTATATTTAGCCATAAATAATCACATTTTGTCTGTTCTTTGGATACATGGACACAACTGCTTTATGTCCTTGTGCCTGTGACCTCAGAGTGTCATACAGCACATCTGTTGATATTTATATGTAATTTTTAAAGAGTAAAGCAAGTTACCAAATACTATGTAATTTCACTTAAAAACCCTTGTGATAAAATGAGAATATCTTCAGTAACACTAATATACAGCACTTACTAAAGAATTATTTTGATACCTGCAAATATCCTTAATTATTGTTTTTTCTTTTAAAAGATATTTACAAGAATTCTGAGAAGCTTGAACCTCCCAGTGGGAAGCAGTCAAGTGTTAGTCCCAAGATTTTTAACAAATGCTTATGATATTGGACATGCTGTAATATGGATCACCGCCATGATGGTTTGTAATACATTATATTTGTTTTCTATAGTTTACCCCTATTTCGTGTTAACCTTACAAAAACTCTGGATAGTCACAGAAGTTGATAACAGTGGCTTGGTTGGTGACGCGATTCTTGGATATTTTCTGATGTCGCAAGCTCATGTTTATCAAATCCAGAATATAGTGGTACCATTTTGAAATCTCCCTAACCAATAGACATTATAAATAGAGTCCTAAATCTAGAGTTTTGAGGGATTTGCAGTGTCTCACATTTTTACTGTCCGGGAACCAGACTTGTAACCCAAAAGACTTTCCCAAGGTAGGATTACAACTCGGGATTTGCGTGTGCTTAGACTCCATTACTTACTTACTGCTAATGTTCACATGAAACATTATATTGAACATAAAGCTTACTAACAAAGTAATCTTTGTGAAGGGAGAGATGTGAAGGATTATTTTGTTGACATCATTAAAGGAAAGTGAAGACATATCCACAAGCTTAGATTTCAGTGTCATCTTTCAAATAATATTAGGATAACTTTCTATTATAATTTTCTAGCTTATCATTCATATATTGCTTCTTCAACTATTTCTTCGTATTCCATTTTACACATTAGCTTGTTTCTGTGGAAAAGCCAATTTTTTTAATGTAAAAGTTTACTTCTTAAATTTCATTGTAAGAAAAACAAATTTAAGCCCCCTTTGTTTTTGCCATTTTATTGTTAAACAGAAAAATCCCATTTTTCTTAATTGGTAGGAGCAAACACTGAAGGATGTTTACTATATTACATATGCAGTGAGTTGACACTGGATTTTTGGGGGCTACAGAATTGGATCGTGATTAGTATTAGTTATTGTTTGAATGAGTTTTGCTCTGCTTTCTCACACAGTTCTCACTGGCAGCTTCATTTTGTGTTAAGTGTGAAAATATGGCCAAGTGCCATGGCTCACGCCTGTAACCTAGCACTTTGGGAAGCCAAGATGGGAGGATAGCTTGAGCCCAGGAGTTTGAGACCAGCCTGGACAACATGGCGAGACCCTGTACAAAAAAAACAAAAGTAAAGTAAAAGTAAGCACGGGCATGATACCACGTGCCTGTGGTACTAGCTCCTCAGCAGGCTGAGGTGGGAGGATCGCTTGAGCCTAGGAGATTGAGGGCTGCAGTGAGCTGTGTTTGTGCCACTGCACTGCACCCTGGGCAACAGAGGGAAGCCCTATTTTTTTTTTTTTTGAGACAGAGTCTTGCTCTATCCCCCAGGCTGGAGAGCAGTGGGGCAGTCTCGGCTCACTGCAGCCTCTACCTTCTGGGTTCAAGCGATTCTCCTGCCACAGCTTCCCAAGTATTTGGGACTACAGGCACCTGCCACCAGGCCTGGCTAATTTTTGTATTTTTAGTAGAGACAGGGTTTCCCCGTGCTGGCAAGGCTGGTCTCGAACTCCTGACCTCAAGTGACCTGCCTGCCTCAGCCTTACATCAGGTTTTTTATGCCTGATGTTAGCATTCTTGGTAATTTTAAGATGATAATCTTAGTGATAAATTTTAGTATCCAGGTTATTTGCTGCAGAACAGTAAAATACAGTTTGCTATTCCAAGTTGACAGGTATTTTTTTAGTTTTTTATGTTGGTTCAAGTAAGCTGCCCTTATTTGTAGTAGAATATTTTGAGTTGATTTGCATGAAGTTCATCAGGGCATTGTTTTTGACTCTTATTTAAAGGTAGAATTGATTTTTGTCATCAAGTTGACTATAAACTGCATTAGTGATTTACATATAGGCTTGGGCCTGTTGACCTCTGTTTTTACAGTATGATATGGGTACTGACATTTTTACTTTTTTATCTGGACAGGGTGGACCAAGTAAGCTAGTGCAAAAACACTTAGCTGGTTTGTTTAACAGCATCACATCTTTTTACCATCCTTCAAATAATGGGCGCTGGCTGGTGAGTAACTTCATTTTGCATTATAGGGCTTGGAATTTTAAAGATATGGTCATCCTTGACTATTGCCTATTGTGTGACCTATAATACATTTTCTGTCCTTCATAGCCTTAGCTGTATGTAAATGCTTACATTTAAATTAAATTACTGTGTTGTAGAGCATATAAATTAAATAAGACAATATCGGTGTGGTAACTGTTGACAACATGCCTCAGTTTTGCAAAAAAAGTAACAAAAATGGCTTAGAAGCATGGAACCATCTTTTCAGTTTTATCTTGTTACCTGTTTTTGTTGTTTTTTTAAGTTGGCCAGTTAAAATGGCTTTCATGTAATGGAAAATTTATGTGCTAGCAATTTTTTTAGACTGGAATTTGAAACTCAGTTTCATTAATTATTAGGAATAATAGGAATTTATGATAATAGGAATAAATAGGAATACAAGGAATAATAATTAGGAATAATTAATTGGTAACTTTTAATTCTGTCTAGTTATGCTGTGCAGTTCTTTGTAATAAGATAATAAGAACTGTTATTTTAAAAATCTTTTCTCAAGAAGCTAGAGAGCAACCATGAATATCTATGTGGGAAAGTAGACCCTACTTAGAACTTTTTGCTTCTGTGTCCCCAGAACAAGTTAATGAAACTACTTCAGCGGCTGCCAAACAGTATTGTTAGAAGATTGCATCGTGAAAGATACAAGAAGCCCTCTTGGTTAACTCCTGTGCCTGATAGCCACAAGCTTACTGATCAAGATGTTACAGACTTTGTACAATGCATTATTCAGCCTGTCCTCTTGGCTATGTTTAGCAAAACTGGTAGTCTAGAAGCAGCCCAGGCTTTGCAGAATCTTGCACTCATGAGACCTGAATTAGTAATACCCCCTGTACTTGAAAGGTAAGTGGTGAGTGGGAGTCTGAGCCATAGCTAGGTTTTTCTTTTGGTCTGTTCAGCTTGATTCTCTTTTCTCCTCTGTGGCTTCTTAGAGGAGAAGCAGGACATTTTAATGTAATGATTGGTAACTTGATAAAGGTTTATTGGAAAGAAAAAAATTGAAATGAAATGGGTAACACATCTTTTGGGTTATTCACACATTTTAGTTACCAAAATTTTGTGCTTATGAATTAAGATCTGGCCTTTTTTTTAGATCAAAATGTTGAGTGTCACTAAGGATTGAGAACATGGTAGTGAAAGTGGTTTTTGGATTTCTTTCTTAGAATCAGTGATAGAGAAGAAAATTGTATTTGTTATTTTCATGTATTACATCAGGTGTGTTGTTTTTACAGAGTAAATTTTATTTTATTCATTTTGGTTTGTGTGTTGAAATGGTAAGGAAAACTCTTTACTTACCTAGCCACTGTCACAGAATAGGCGTGATGTACTTACAAAGAGAGAGACAGCTACTTTTTTTTTTTTTTTTTTTGAGATGGAATTTTGCATTAGTCCCCCAGGCTGGAGTGCAAATCTTGGCTCACTGCAGCCTCTGCCTTCCGGGTTCAAGGATTCCCCTGCCTAAGCCTCCTGAGTAGCTGGGATCACAGGCGCCCGCCACCACACCCAGCTAATTTTTGTATTTTTAGTAGAGACAGGGTTTCACCATGTTGGCCAGGCTGGTCTGGAACTCCTGACCTCAGGTGATCCACTCTCTTTGGCCTCCCAAAGTGCTGGGATTGCAGGTGTGAGCCACTGCGTCCGACCTACTCTTAATTTTTTGAGAGCAATTTTTAAAGTAATTTGTTCAAGAGTAAATTACTTAAGCTTTCTGTTGTACCTCTGCTTCCTCTACTGGCTGAACTTAAGCTTTATGATCTCTCTCTAAATGTTTTTGTCAAATATAGAGGAGGAATGTTAGTTTTTAGAACCTAGAAGGATCTAGCCATTGAGTTCCATAAAAATTTGTCCAAGGTCCCTAGTGGTAGAATTCAAACTATAGCCTATTTCCTGTCTTATTGTTGAGACAGAATAAGTATTGGTCATATTTACTTGGGGAAGAGTACCATGTTCAAGGTCTTAACCAAAATGGGCCTCCATTATCTATAATTTTCAGCTGTTTATGCTGCCTTACCTGCCCTCATTGCCATAAATATTCAAGTTAGACTGCACTTCATTTTCCCAACTTACTTTATTTTTACATACACATCTTGGGGCATTGAAACTCTTCCAGCATATAGAACTTAATTAGGAAATGGAGTGGGGGAAGATAGGCAGTTTCCTGTCTGTCTTCAATCCCCGTATTCTTTGCTTCTTGGCCTCCACAGAGTAGCAGAAGCTAACAGTTAATGGCAGGTTCCCTGATGCTCCCTGGAGAGGTGGGACTTCATCTGTTTGCTTAGCTAAAATTTTGAAGTTTGGAGTGTTTTGATGTTTCTTTTTCTCTTTTTTTGGGACAAAGTCTCGCTTTGTTGCCCAGGCTGGATGGAGTGCGGTGGCGCTATCCCGGCTCACTACAAGCTCCACCTCCCAGGTTCACGCCATTTTTCTGCCTCAGCCTCCTGAGGAGCTGGGACTACAGGCGCCCATCACCACACCCGACTGATTTTTTGTATTTTTGTTAGAGAGGGGGCTTCACGGTGTTAACCAGAATGGTCTCAATCTCCTGACCTTGTGATCCGCCCGCATCGGCCTCCCAAAGTGCTGGGATTACAGGCGTGAGCCACCGCGCCTGGCAGTTTTCAATGTTTCTTTACTTCCCCTTTGTTTTGTGATTTTCAGCTGATTAATTATGAATAGTGAGCTAAATTCTTAGTAGAAAGAACAAAGCTTATAAATAAATAGACCCATCACATTTTTCTTTAGTCCTAAAATTTTGGACAAATTTAGTATCAGCATATTAAGTGATATTGAATGCTTGGCCAAGATAAATAATAAACCAAATTGACAATACAATGACATTTTTTGAGACTTTCAATTGTAATTTTGTGCTGTTTTGAAGTGGCATGACCTTTTTAAATTTTTATTCTTTTATTTATTTATTTTGAGACAGACTCTCGCTCTGTCACCCAGGCTGGAGTGCAGTGACATGATCTCAGCTCACTGCAACCTCCACCTCTCGGGTTCAAGCGATTCTCCTGCCTCAGCCTCCCGAGTAGCTGGGATTTACAGGTGCCTGCCACCATGCCCAGCTAATTTTTGTATTTTTAGTAGAGATGGCGTTTTACCATGTTGGTCAGGCTGATCTTGAACTCCTAACCTCAAGCAGTCCACCTGTCTTGGCCTCCCAAAATTCTGGGATTACAGGTTTGAGCCACCATGGCCGGCCAAAGATTTTATTTTTAATTAATTTATTTGTTTTTTTATTTATTTATTTTGAGACAGACTCTCGCTCTGTCACCCAGGCTGGAGTGCAGTGACATGATCTCAGCTCACTGCAACCTCCACCTCTCGGGTTCAAGCGATTCTCCTGCCTCAGCCTCCCGAGTAGCTGGGATTTACAGGTGCCTGCCACCATGCCCAGCTAATTTTTGTAATTTTAGTAGAGATGGCCTTTTACCATGTTGGTCAGGCTGATCTTGAACTCCTGACCTCAAGCAGTCCACCTGTCTTGGCCTCCCAAAATGCTGGGATTACAGGTGTGAGCCACCATGGCCGGCCAAAGATTTTATTTTTAATTAAAGCAAAACTTTTTTAAAAACTAAAAACGTAGGAAAAAAATTTTAGACGCTTAGTTTTACATCTCCAAGAAAGCTTCTGTTAAAGAGTTTGGTATGTTTTCTCCATTAAAAAAAATAATAATAAGTGACTAGTCTGGCTCACGCCTGTAGTCCCAGGACTTTGGAAGTCTGAGGAAGATGGATTGCTTGAACTCAGGAATTTGAAACCAGCCTGGGCAACATGGCAGAACCCTGTCTCTACAAAAAAAAATACAAAAATTAGCCGGGAGTGGTAACGTGTGCCAGTAGTCCCAGCTACTTGAGAAGCCAAAGTGGGAGGGTTACCTGATCTGGGTGATGTGGAGGCTGCAGTGAGCTATGATCACACCACTGCACTCCAGCCTGGGGCAGAGTAAGACCCTGACTCCAGGGTTGGGGGTGGTCAGGGGAAAGAAACTGTGGAGTATTTGTAACTTGTTATTCCACTGACTGACCATTAGATTAGTATAATATAGATTAGGACAGCTGAAATAAAGCAGTATCTACCAGTTGATGTTCTTTTGGGTTTTTTTGAGACAGTCTTGCTCTGTCACCCAGGCTGGAGTGCAATGGCATAATCTTGGCTCACTGCAACCTCCACCTCCCAGGTTCAAGCGATTGTCCTGCCTCAGCCGCCGCAGTAGCTTGGATTACAGGCATGCGCCACCACACCCCACTGATTTTTGTATTCATATAGAGACAGGGTTTCACCATGTTGGCCAGGCTGGTCTCAAACTCCTGACCTCAGGTGATCTGCCTGCCTTGGCCTCCCAAAGTGCTAGTGTTACAGGTGTGAGCCACCACACCCCGACTTCTACCAGTGTGTGTTCTTTTCTCACTGTGGAATTGGCATGAAAAGAGTTGGTAAGGTAGCAGGGGATTGGGGACATGCGCAGTAAATAATCTGTGTATCTTTCCTTTATTTGTGTACAGTAATGTCTCCCCTTATTGGTGAGGGATGTGTTTGAAGACCCCCAGTGCATACCTGAAACCATGGATAGTACTGAACCCTATGTATACCATGTTTGTTTCACATACATGCATACCTGTGATAGTTTAATTTATAAATTAGGCCCAGTAAGAGATGAACAACAATCATAAAATAGAACAATTATAAAAATACATTGTTCAATATAATAAAAGTTATGTGAATATGGTCTCGTTCTCAGGACACTGAAATACTTGGTTAACCTTTGTTAACTGAAACTACGGAAACTGCAGATAACGGGGCTACTGTAATTCTGTTAACTTTGATAGCAGATTTTCACTCTTAAGTATTTTGCTGACTTATAAACCTTTAAGTCAAAGTACAGTTTATGAATTTACAATATTTAATGTATTATGGTATTATGCATATCTGTGATGGAGACTTTAAAAATTCTGTTTTCAAACTGTAGAACGTATCCTGCATTAGAGACATTAACAGAACCTCACCAGCTCACAGCCACTTTAAGTTGTGTAATTGGAGTAGCCCGCAGTTTGGTATCGGGAGGCAGATGGTTTCCTGAAGGTCCTACACATATGCTACCTCTGTTGATGAGAGCATTGCCTGGGGTGGATCCAAATGACTTTAGTAAATGCATGGTGAGTATATTGATGATTATACACTCTATATTTAGGTAGGAGGCAAAGTAACTTCTCAGTGACAAAAGGTTGGAGAACTTTATGCGTAGGCCTACTATAAATATGAAAATAAATGTTGTATAACTTCATTATTAAAGTAACAGTTATTTATTTATTTATGTAGAGATGGAGTCTTGCTCTGTCACCCTGACTGGAGTGCAGTGACATGATCTCGGCTCACTACACTGCGATCTGCCTCCTGGATTCTAGCGATTTTCCTGCCTCAGCCTCCTGTGTAGCTGGGATTACAGGCACACGCCACCACGCCTGGCTAGTTTTTGTATTTTTAGTAGAGACAGGGTTTCACCATGTTGGCCAGGCTGGTCTGGAACTCCTGACCTCAAGTGATCCGCCCACATCGGCCTCCCAAAGTGCTGGGATTACAGGTGTGAGCCACTGCTCTCGGCCGACAGCTAGTTAATTATGAAGATTCTTAAAGTGTTTAATTCTAAATGAGGAATACCCAGAGAAACTGTTGTGGGATTTTGATCAAGATAATTTATTGGGGTAATTTATTGTAGTTCACGGTATACTTGTATTTCTGAATTAGAATTATGTAATGTTGAAAATCCTTTGTATCTTTCCACAGATCACATTCCAGTTCATAGCAACATTTTCTACTCTGGTGCCTTTAGTAGATTGTTCATCTGTACTACAAGAAAGAAATGACCTCACAGAAGTAAGGGTATTTTATGGTTATAAAAGGGCGAAGATGTTCTAATTATTATTGCATATGCATAGTAACACTTGACAGTTTAGAAACAACTTGGGAAGTAAAATTACTATTTTGTGACTAGAATGGTGCATATGGAGGGCCAGGACATCATTGGCAAGAGAGTCTCCAGAGCACCCATCATAGGAGGTGGCTCAAAAATAGGCCGTTTCTATAAACTTCTGACATCTGGAGGTGTATTTCAGTTTTATGTCACTTTTCAATGTTTTGTTAAGCAAAAAATGGTGATTATTTTATTTTTCCATCATCTTAGGTTAGTAATAAATCTGTCCAAGGGATTGACATCTAATGAAGAAAGATTTTCTTCATTTCTGTCTGGCTTTTTCAGAACTTCTCTCTTTTTTTTTTTTTTTGAGATGGAGTCTTGCTCTGTCACCCAGGCTGGAGTGTGGTGGTGTGGTATCGGCTCACTGCAACCACCACCTCCTGGTTCAAGTGATTCTCCTGCCTCAGCCTCCCGGGTAGCTAGGACTACAGGTGCGCACCACCAGGCCTGGCTAATTTTTCGTATTTTTAGTAGAGATGGGGTTTCGCCATGTTGGCCAGACTGGTCTCGAACTCCTGGCCTCAAGTAATCTACCCGCCTCGGCCTCCCAAAATGCTGAGTGCGCAAATGTGAGTCACTGTACCCAGCCCCCAGAACTATCTTCTTTAATGCAAGCATGTCGCCCAGGCTGGAGTACAGTGGTGCCATCTTGGCTGACTGCAGCCGTTGCCTCCCGGTTTCAAATGGTTTTTGTGCCTTAGCCTCCCGGGTAGCTGAGATTACAGGCGTGTGCCACCATGCCTGGCTAATTTTGTGTGTGTGTATTTTTAGTAGCAATGGGGTTTTGCCATGTTGGCTAGACTGGTCTTGAACTCTTGACCTCAAGTGATCCGCTTGCCTTGGCCTCCCAAAGTGCTAGGATTGTAGGCATGAGCCACAGTGTCTGGCCAGCCACTGCACCTAGCCGAAAGCATGTTGTTGTTTGTTTTTTTTGGACATTCAGGTAGTGAGAGACTAGACTTTACATATATCAGCAGTTTTGAAAACTGAATTTATAATAAAGATAGCTGCTTGACTTCTGTATTTGGCCCTTGTAAAATAACATTAATTGCTGCTTTCTTTGGTTCCTAGAAAGTAGTAGATCAAGTCGTTCTAAATTGATAGGCAAGTATGGTGCTGTTTCTCATAGTACCCAATATAATGGTTTAGTGTAGATATATTTGGCAGGCAATAATTGAGTTTTGTTAGTTCAGGGAAAAAAACTAAGGCTATATGTAATCTTTCTTTGCATTGGGATATTATAGGTGGAACGAGAACTTTGTTCAGCCACAGCTGAATTTGAGGACTTCGTCTTACAATTTATGGACAGGTGAGCTTGTAACCCACACCAACGTTTAGCTGACATTCTAGAAAATGACTCTTCTATCCCAGAAACTGTAGTTTATTTCTGCATTATAACCTTTATTTAGCTACTGCTGGTGCTCCTGAAGTTATAAAAGGATAATCGATTTGTGAACCACGTAGAAATTAAGTAGCTATCACTTGAATAGTTAGGACAATAGAGAGTTACCTAATCACCACCAAAAATGTCAAACCAGATTTTAGTTGCTGAAATTATGCTTTGTTTGGATTATTTAGATGCTTTGGACTTATAGAAAGTAGCACATTGGAGCAAACAAGAGAAGAGACAGAAACTGAGAAAATGACACACTTGGAGAGTTTGGTCGAATTAGGTCTGTCTTCTACGTTTAGTACAATCCTCACCCAATGTTCCAAAGAAATATTTATGGTAAGAACATTGCTACAAAAATTAAACTTCCAGCTTTTAAGTTTCATTTGATGTTTTAAAATTGACTTCAGATTACTTTGTGTATATCATGCAGTTTATCATTTACATTCATACTGAAGTTTTAAAGAAATGTACAGTTGCTCCTCATTATTTGCAAATTTCATATTTGCAGATTTACCTATTTGCTCTAATTATTTGCAACCCGAGAATCAAAGCTTTTGTGACTGACAAAAATTTAGTTACCTAAATTTGATCTCACATATACCATGTGTTCTCAGCTGAGAGCAAACTAGGCACTCTGCCTTCTTGTATCCAGCTCCACTTAAACAACTGTCCCCTTTGCGATCTATTTAATGCCATATTTTTACATTTGTGTGCTTTTTGTTGGTGATTCTGCTGTTTAAAAATGTCAAAAATGACTCCCAAGCGTTTAGTGTTTAAAGTGGTTTAAAGGGTTCCTAAGCATAAGAGTTGTGGTATGCCTAATGGAAAAAACACTGTGCTGGGTAAGTGTCAACAGGCATGGGTTATAGTGCTGTTGACTGGGGATTAAATGTTAGTGAATCAACAATATGTATTAAATAAGTTGTCTGTAAACATAAACACACTTAGGATTATGTATTGTTCAGTTGATGAAAATGTTGTCACTATGGGTTCACAAGAACATAATCCTGTATTTCCCCTGGGAGCAATGGTTCAGTATTTGCTAGTTCAGTTGTCACAGCAAATTTATAGAACATGACTACCATGAACAACAAGAAACAACTGTATTGTTTAATTTTACAATTAAAAACAATTACTCAGCTGAGTTTTAGAAATTGCTTATGACATCACTTGCATGATAGAAATTAAATCCTAAGACTAATTGATGGATTAGAAGTAGTTATCTTCATAAGACATTCAGTAAGCATTGACTTATTCAATATTGGTTGGTACCTGTTACCTGTAGTGTGGTACCTATTATCTGTAGCCTTTAAGACTCCACTTTATTTTCATTTCTGTTTTTTCTCCCGTCATCTGTAATTATCACTGTTAAATATGTTAATCCTGAAAGCCAAATTGCCTTACAACTGGGTGAAATAAATGCTATGATTATGTTAGTATAAAGAAATGAACACAAAATCATCTCTTGTTTAACCAAAAGGAGTTGTTTATACTTTTCAGTATTATTAACCCAGGTTTAGAACTCATTGTTCCAATGAGCAAGTAAATTAAAGTTTTGTGACATGTTTGTAAAATAAATAGACTGCTTCGGGTCTTTTAGGGTAAGGATAGGTATCTAGTTTGTAGTTGTCAGGATGACAAATTATATTAGTTATTCCAAAAAATTCCCTTTGTTGTATTCAATTAGCCAGGAAGATAATTAAATTGCATTTGCTTCCACCAGGTATAATTTTATGTGTAGGGTTTCTGTGGCAAGTGAAATCTTATACCTCAATTTTGTGTGTGTGTGTGTGTGTGTGTGTGTGAGACAGAGTCTCACTCTGTCACCCGGACTGGAGTGCAGTGGCGCGATCTCGGCTCACTGCAACCTCCACCTCCCCAGTTCAAGCAATTCTTATGCCTCAGCCTCCTCAGCAACTGGGACTACAGGCATGCACTACCATGCCTGGTCAATTTTTGCATTTTTAGTGGAGACAGGGTTTCGCCATGTTGGCCAGGCTGGTCTTGAACTCCTGATGTCAAGTGATCCTCCTGCCTCAGCCTCCCAAAGTGCTAGGATTACAGATGTGAGCCGCCGCACCCAGCCAGTACCTCAGATATTTTGTTCAAGTTAGGATCGTGGACAAAGATGGTTCTTAGACCCAAATGTAACATTATTAAACAAATTCTTATAAAATCAGATGGTTAAAAATTGCCCATTTGTTTAGTTTTGGAATTGTCTAAATATATATATCGTTTTCTTTTATGTTCTATAAGATGTTTAATTTTCTGAAAACATGCTCATGAGACATTTTCATTTCTTACATATCTTAACAGGTGGCCCTTCAGAAGGTTTTTAATTTTTCTACTTCACATATATTTGAAACAAGAGTAGCAGGTCGCATGGTGGCAGACATGTGCCGCGCTGCTGTAAAGGTGAGTTTATTTTTTTGAACTGATGTATTAATGACTCAACAATCAACAAGTTTATATGGTTAATTATTTCAGAGGTGCTTGTATGCTTAAAATACATAGTTCTTTCAGTAGCTGCTTATTTATAGCTTTTTGTTACCACTGAAAATAATAATGCTAGTATATATTTGCCTTTCAAAAAAAACTTATTTATACAAATATGTTTTCAGTGCTGCCCAGAAGAATCTTTGAAGCTCTTTGTTCCCCACTGCTGCAGTGTTATAACTCAGCTTACAATGAGTAAGTCATAAGGTCATTATTCTCTCTTTACAATTTGGGTAAGTTTTTTTCTTGGTTTCTAAAACTGTTAATGACAACAGATTCTTTTAGCTACACAATATTTTGATTTGTAATTTGAGGAGAAATTGTCTCCAAAAAGGTATCATCCAGGTTGGCAGTAGCTTAAAAATGTTACTTTACTAATATTCGTATACAACAACCATTCAGAGGTTACCTTCAAAAATACCAGTTATTGGCCCGGTGCGGTGGCCCACACCTGTAATCCAAGCACTTTGGGAGGCCAAGGCAGGCGGATCACAAGGTCAGGAGATCAAGACCATCCTGGCTAACATGGTGAAACCCCGTCTCTACTAAAAAATAAAAAAAAATAAAAAATTAGCCGGGCGTGGTGGCGGGCCCCAGTAGTCCCAGCTACTCAGGAGGCTGAGGCAGGAGAATGGCGTGAACCCAGGAGGCAGAGCTTACAGTGAGCCAAGATTGCACCACTGCACTCCAGCCTGGGCGACAGAGCGAGAGTCTTTCTCAAAAATAAATAAATAAATAATAATAATAATATCAGTTATTTTGTGAGATATAGAGAAGCAGAAGTCTTGGTTGGTGTGTTTATTTTCTTGAAAATTTTGTTTCTGCCTCCTTTTGGAGCAAGCTCAGCTTCATGAAGAAGAAATAATAAGTCTTCCTAAAAGAGGCTTTCCTCAGCTATTGGAAATATTAAATAGAAATATTTTAAAATGCTGTATTTAGTTGAATGCATAGTTTTTTCCCCCCTAATACTATTTTGCTGCTTTTAGATGATGATGTATTAAATGATGAAGAGCTAGACAAGGAATTACTGTGGAATCTTCAACTTTTGTCTGAGGTATTATAAATCTTTGGAATAAAAAACATGACTATGAAAACATTGACTTGCTTTTAGGATTTAGCTCTTCCTGACAAAATGACTTTAAAACATATGAAAAGTCTGAGTTTTGGAAATTTATGATGAGGCTTCAGAAAGTCAGAATATATCATACTCTTATTGGCAAAGGAGTGGTATAGTTGATCACTGCATGTTCAACCATCTACTTAACTTAGTTTTACCAGTTAATTCTAATATGGGTAACTCAGTAATTGAAAAAGTTGATCAGATTTGGGAATTTTTTTGGTCTACTATTTAAATTTGGCCATCAATCAAACTTAAGTTTTCTTTATCAGTTTTTTCGGAAGTTTAATTAGGGCTGGGCGCAGTGGCTCACGCCTGTAATCCCAGCACTTTGGGAGGACGAGGCGGGCGGATTATGAGGTCAGGAGATTGAGACCATCCTGGCCAACATGGTGAAACCCCGTCTCTACTAAAAATACAAAAATTAGCTGGGCGTGGTGGCGTGTGCCTGTAATCCCAGCTACTCAGGAGGCTGAGGCAGGAGAACCGCTTGAACCCGGGAGGTGAAGGTTGCAGTGAGCCAAGATCATGCCACTGCTCTCCAGCCTGGGCGACAGAGCGAGACAACGTCTCAAAAAAAAAAAAAAGTTTAATTAGGTTTAGTCTTCTTAGGAGAATAGACTCTTTTGAAAGGGATGTTACTATGGTGCATGAAAACTTAAGCTCAGAAAATGTGTTTGATTTCACAAACAAATAATTAGAATACAGTTAAAATGAAAATCCTAAAATTAGTTAAAGTCATTTAGAGAAACACTATTTTAGACTATGTTAGTGGCCAAACATTGAACTTTGCATTAATGACTGGTTCTTGGTCTTTTAACCAAAATATCTTCAACTATTTTTTCCCTCTTTTTAGATTACCCGAGTGGATGGAAGGAAGTTGCTTCTTTATAGGGAGCAGCTTGTAAAGATTCTCCAGAGAACCCTACATTTAACCTGTAAGCAGGGTTACACTCTGTCTTGTAACCTTTTGCATCATCTTCTGCGTTCTACCACACTTATCTACCCTACAGAATACTGCAGTGTGCCAGGTGGCTTTGACAAGCCTCCTTCTGAATACTTCCCTATCAAGGCAAGCATTTTCAATACTTTAGGATTCAAGGATATATTGATGTTTTTTGTTTTAAGGGATTCAAAGTGTTATTTTTTTGCATATAAAGATGTTAGTTTTTTATTTTTAAGATAGATTATTAAAACTATTATTGGAATGTGTGAAACTTGTGCTGTCTCACTTTGCATGGAACTAAAACTCTAGTTTTCTTTCCTGTTGGTATGTGAAACAACTTGGTATGCCGTATCTAATGTCTGTAGTCTAATATAATTTTATTGCTAAATTAAGCCTCACATAAACTCATTGTCACTTTTATAGTATCACTCTTAGAGCAAACTCATATTATAATGAGTACTCTTCAGGGAGACTTTTCTCAGGAGTGATAACGAAGAGGCAATAAGATGTTGTTTTCATGCTACTTTTTTGTATGTCATTTGCTAGCTTAGGTTTGGATTATGTGTACATTTTCTTTTAAATGTTAAAAATTGTGTATATGTATGTGGGTTTGTTGTTGTTACCGTTTTTAATTTCTCAACTTGCTGAGTAGATGCTGTTCTTTTCTAGGACTGGGGCAAACCCGGGGACTTATGGAATCTGGGAATCCAGTGGCATGTTCCTTCTTTAGAAGAAGTGTCTTTTGCCTTTTATCTTTTGGACTCCTTTCTTCAGCCTGAGCTTATCAAACTCCAACATTGTGGGGATGGAAAACTTGAAATGTCTAGGTTGGTTTTATTTTATAATTAGAGTTATTCAGTTGCAGAGTACAGACGTGTTTTGTCGCTTTATCTGTGGCATAGCTCATGTATTCATTTTCGATTGTGTTTTGAAAATCTGCTGTACATGTACTTAAAAAATCATTTAATATAATGTTGTATAACAGAAAATTTGACAACACTTAAACATTTTAAACACAAAAAGTCTGGGTTTCTTTTTCTAATTTTTTTTTTATTACCTTCTACTTAGCAGGTTCACTTGTATATCTTTTGGAAAGTGTGGACATAGATATACCTTCTTTGAAAGGAATGCCTGTTTTCCTAGACTCAGCTTAGATTTTATTGTGTTGTTCTCAAAATGTTATTTTGAGAATTATTTCTGTGAGATTTTTGTTTCTTGTTCCACAGGTGTTTAACAAGAAATAAGTATTTGAAACCATTAGACTTTCATAGTTTGAATCTTTGAAAGTTTTTGAAATAATAGCAAGAAAGTTAATGTGTCAAACGCCACAAATTTTTCATAAGCAGATTTAGGAATGGGCTTGGAGAAAGAAGTGTGATTGACTAACATTAACTCTGTCGTGCTCTGAACTGCTTTTTGGAGTAAATGTTTAACTAGTCCCATTTTTAAAAGATGGAATAAGCTGGAAGATCTGTAGCATTATTTCCTCTTTTTATTAGTGGCAGTGGTCTTCGGTAAAGGGATGCTTAAATTAACAGTTGTTTCACAAAGGGCAGTTAATTATTGTTACTTGTGATTATTTAGAGCCTGTTTAAATGTAAGCAAGCATAGTGTTAGCAATAAATATATGTTTAATTGTTCTTTACTGTTGGTAAACTGAAGACATTTGTTATTTCTTTACCTTAATCATTTATATCCCCACATGATAAAACTTTTGTGCTGGGCTCTAGCAGGCTTGTTAAATAGGGATTTGGAGTCTTCTAAAATATGAAATGTCTTTCGTTTTTTTCTAGAGATGATATTCTACAGAGTCTGACTATAGTGCACAACTGTTTAATTGGCTCTGGAAACCTCCTACCTCCGTTGAAAGGAGAGCCAGTTACTAACTTGTAAGTAAAAATAACTACTTTGTTTTGCCACTTAGCATATATTTTAGGTCTTAGTCACTTAATGAGTTATTGGTTTGTTATTGTTACTGCTGTTACTTCTGTATCACTTTAACCTTTTTATTTGTCACTGTTAAGGTCAAAAATATCAGAGGTACAATTTAGGTCTATAAACCTGAAGGCTTTATTCAGATTTTCCCATGGTACCAGGATAGAATAACTTCAGATATTAATTTTAAAATATCAAATGTGAAGATATTAAGTTAATCTATTAGTTTACTGAGTTAATTAAAATAAATGATGTTCTTTTAAAAAGGAAAAATACTACTTTTTTTTGTCTGTAGCAAATGTTGATTTAGGATTTTGTAGCAAAAATCTTTTTCAAAAAAATAAAGATTTCTTCAATCTTATTCATTATGATTTTGAACTTTTTTATATGTCAGTTTGTTATGATTTTTTAAGTGTTTTCAGAGTGTTATTACTTTGAATGAATAGCTAAATTGAATCCATTGTTAGTTGTGCCATTTAAGGTGAAAAAAATTAAGTTAGAATAAAATCAGCAGAGGCCCAGTGTGGTGGCTTATGAGGCAGGCAGATCCTTTGAGTGCAGGAGTTCGAGATCAGCCCAGATGACATGGCAAACCCCTGTCTCTACAAAGAATACAAAAATGAGCTGGGCGTGGTGGCACATACCTGTAGTCCCAGCTGAGGTGGGAGGATTGCTTGAGCCTGGGAGGCGGAGGTTGCAGTGAGCCGAGATCATGCTGCTGCACTCTAGCCTGGGCAACAGAGTGAGACCCTGTCTCAAAAAAAATTTAAAAAAAAAAGAAAAAGCATAAAATCAGCAGTATATATTAATTTTAGCTTAATTATTAAGTAGATAATAATTTAAATATATTAAGATCTTTTTTTTCAACATCAGTATCTCGTTACTAAGCAAGTTAATGAAATCACATGTAAATAACATTCAATTAGTAAGTGCCCTCTCTTCCCCCTCAAAAAACACAAAGGGGAAAATGATTTACTGATTTTGCAACAAAAACGTTAAAAAGCCTCAAGAAGTGGTTTCAAAATGTGGCTTACGTGTCTTTCCCATACTTTGTGTAGTCATTGTTTGGAGTCATGCATTTCCCATTTTTTTCACTCCAAAAAATTGTTCTTAGGCGTTGAGCTTTTTAGATTATTAAGTTTAAGAAGGAGAAGTTAGGGTCATTTCAGGTAAGGACATCTGTTATAAGTATGTCTAGGAATTTGCCGAATTCTTTTTTAAAGAACTTTTGTTTTTCATTAGTTTTGTTGTTTGATATAAGAGGATTTGTACTAGAAAAAAAGATTGATTTTGAATAATATTTAAAAATAAGAGCCTTCAAAAATTATTTTGATTTTCACCTGTGATCTTAGCAGTGTGTATTACAGTAAGAACTTGACCCTTTTATGGCATGCAAAAAGCTATTTCATACTTAGCAAACCTAGCACGTCAGCAAATTGAGTTCTGCTTGAAAGTGTCAACAATTAGAATTGTGGTCATTTAATCCAAGAATTTAAGAGCAAAAGCATGTGTTTTTAATGTTAGTAAATTTTTAGTACTGAGTGATCATTAGGATGCACTGCTGAAGGGTCTGCTAAAGAGGCCAAGGAATTTTCCTTGCAGTTCGTATCAGCCTGTGTCTTGATGACATGTACATTGTAAGAGTGAGTTGAAGCAAAAGGCTTTATGCTTTGAAATAAATGTGCATCATGACAAAAGCTTCATATATTTGATTATTATAAAACCAATTAGATTTTTGTATAATGAAGTGCATTTTAATAAGGAAAAGAATATATTATGATAACCTTACGAATACCATATAATACAGACTATTAGTTTATATTACTATGTATTATAAGCTATAAAATTGATCCTGAGTATCCTTTTATTGGCTTTTCCCAGAAAAGTTAAAAAGGAAAGATAAATTTAGCCTGAAAGGTTTTGCGTTTTAGCGCTTGCACATTTAGAGTGAAAATTTAATGTAATAATGTAATGAAGTAATAAAAATCTATATTAAATATATGTACATGTTTATATATTTAAACATATATAGATAAAAATATAAAATGCTTCCTGATATATACCTAATAATATAATGAAATAAAACTTCAATTTTTAAAAATCATTGAATAATATGTATTTTTAAAAATTGAACTTTTATTTCATTATATACCTAATAATATAATGAAATAAAACTTCAATTTTTAAAAATCATTGAATAATATGTATTTTTAAAAATTGAACTTTTATTTCATTATATACCTAATAATATAATGAAATAAAACTTCAATTTTTAAAAATCATTGAATAATATGTATTTTTAGGGTTGTTTTTAGTTACGTATATCTGTGGGGGATAGTGATTATATAAAGTAGAATTAAGAATAAATGAACATCTCTTTGCCTTTGAATTGCCAAAAGAGGGAGTTTTAAGTCTTCCTTTGGCTTTTACAAGTTCTTAATAGAATTGTATTTAATTTATAACTGTCATTACCTTCAGCTGAAGCTTTATTTTGGCAAAGTACAGCTTTTGACATTTATTTCCTATGTGTAACATTTTTACTTTTTTTTAACAGATGGTTAATCTCATAAAGTATCATAAAATAGCCTTTAAAATTTCTAAAATGCTTATTTTAATATAGGTTAGTAATTGTTAAAATCTTCTAAATCTAAATTGATTTGAAAAAACTAATACAGTTTTTCCAATAGATGGTCCCATTGTTCTTTGATACAAATTCATACTGCCTGGTGTGAAGAATGAATATCTATAGCATAATTTATGGTGATTATCAGCAGATCAGTTTGAAACTAGTAGAGAAAGAGAATTAACTTAGCACATCAGTTGCTCCATAGGAAATGGGAAAATGTACTAGGTCAGGGAGAAAATGAAACACATAATTGTTATATGAATATTTTAGTGTAATGTCTTAAGATGTCTGAGGAAAATATCTATTGTTAATAACAGTTTGGCTGTGGTATTAGGAGACATTATGCATTTTCTGAAATACCAGCCCAGTTTTTAGAAGCACATAGCAATTCATGATTCTTTTTTTTTTTTTTTTTTTTT